CTTCCTTCCGAGGAGTGGCTGGTGGGTTTGAACCGCCAGCCTTCTGGTTAGCAGTCAAGTGCCTTAGCCACTATGCTACCAGAGCTTACAATGAAGAAACTCATTTTTAAAATTTGCCCATTTGCAAGTCCAAGCAGTGACCATTTAAACAGCGATAATCATTTAAAGTATGAACTTTAGAAGGAAAATGTGGTGCTTAACTTGACAGCGATATTTCTGTTTAAAATAGGAGACACTGTGATTAAAAGCCTCCCTAAAAGCCAGGTGGTTCTGACTAATATGCCAGCTAACCTTCATGGACTTTCCAACATGTATTACTCAGTAGAAAGACCTAAGCAATAAATGAATAAGGTAATATTTATCTGGAGACCAGCAAACAGAATTTCAGTTAAAAGGAAGACAGGGTTTAAAATATAATTCTATATTCTTTTACAAGCCAAAAGGTTAACTCACCATCTGATGCTGGGATCCAAACATAGTGTTACAGGGCACGCGACACAAGCAGGGGAAAGGCAAGCCAAGCTGCAAGAAGAAAATATGCAACTTTTCAAGACTGATCTTCACCACCATTCACTTATGCCCCAAGACTGTGGCCCTGAGACAAGCCATAGTGATTCTTTAAAAAAATCTCTCTCCTTAGGAACTCTTAATATTACAAATAGATGTAAAGTACACTGAAAGTTTGGGGGAAAAAAAGGTGAATTATCAAGAGTTTATAAGGGGATACAGACAATGTAAAGGTTTCTAAATTAGTCAAGTAACTATCTTTGGTATATTCTAGAATATAAACACCTTGCTCAACATTTTCTGAGATAGTTTAAGATTCTTCTTCCATCACCACTCTAAAATAACAACAGCTAAAGGGAACTTGGGAGGTCTGGTAGCATAGTGCCTAAGGCACTTGGCTGCTAACCAGAAGGCTGGTGGTTCAAATCCACCAGCCACTCCTCGGAAGGAAGATGGGGCAATCTACTTCCGGAGTGATACTGCCTCGGAAACCCAAGGAGGGGTTGTTATGAGTCAGGTCCGACTCGAGGGCACATAACAACAACAACAACAAAGGGAACTTAAAGAACTGTATCTTATTTATGGTTCTACCCATCCCTAAAAGGCAGTCAATATCAACTAGCATATACACACTTCTTAAGAGAAATTAAATCAATGTTATAAATGGAGATAGTTATTAAGTTAACTTTACAGTCTTTATTTTTAGCTTCCAAATGTTTGAGTAGTTAATGATTTTAGGAATTTTAAACACATGCAGCATACTGTTCTACATACATGAGACTTAGTAGGACTTAATAACCAAAAATTAAATAAGCACCTTACTCACACATTTTCCCCCTTAAAGGAGTTTTAAAAAAAAATAAATATGAAAATGATATCCCAGTAAAACAAAAATCAAACAATACAGAAATTGAAACTTAAAATATTTCTCTACCACAGCCAGCAATCTATCAATGTTAACAGCTTAGTATATAACCTCTCAGATATTTTCTAAGTATATGTCTTTACAGACATCTATATTTTGCTAGGTATGAAAAATATACATACATAAAGCATGTATATAATTTTAAAAACATGAACATGATCATGTTCTGTTCTGCCATCTGTCCTTCTCACTTAACAGATACTCTCACGTACACTGAAAACTGGATTGCTGTCCCAAAACAGCCTTGAGTCCACAGGAGCCTGTTTTGCAGCAGGTACTCAATAACTGTTCATGTTTCTATAGGAATATTATAAAAAACCCCTATTCTGTATACCCTCAATAACAGGACATAATTTCTTGCCACCTGTGCCAGAACGCAGAATCTTAAGTCCCTGAGTTCTCCCATAGAACCTCCCAGGGCCTCTCTACCATTACAAAAGAGGAACCAAACTCTCCATCCCTATGTGTTTTACCTTAAAATATTCCTGGCCAAGAAGCTGAACAATTTCTTGTCTCAAGGCAGCCCCTCACCTGGGCTATTTGCATTATGAACTTAAAAAATGCTAATGCTTTTATTTAGTAATTCTAGATCACTCTGAAAATCTATCCTAAGACTATAAGGCTAAATATAAATAACATTTAATGAAGATGTTCATACTATACATACAGTATTACCTCAAAGTAGTCCACGAAAGCAAAAGAATGGAAACACTCTAATTGTCCAAAGAGGAAAGAGTTAATTAAATTACTATACAATCACTTGAAATAATATTATGAAGATACTAAAAAGAAGCTTTACTTTGAAGAACTGCTATAACATGATATGCTTCTACTAGGAAAACTAAGTGAAAAAAGTCAGATACAACCATGCAAGAAGACATATACACCCTCGATTAAACTCTGGACAGAAATGAAGTAAAATGTTGACTATGGTTGCCTTTCAGCAATTACAAAGATATTTTTCACATATTCTTTATTTCTAAATTCATTATTATACATCTATATATTTTGCAATGACAAAACAAGAGTAAAAGCCATCTTTCTTTTCATTCAAAAAGAATAGTAGCTAGAGAAACAGGCTATACCATTTAAAAAAGAAGTTTCAAGACAGAATAAAACATTCAGTCTCCTTAAAATATCCACCTTATACCACATTACCTGATTACAAAGGTATTGGCCCAGGCCAGGTCTTGCAGCAGCACTAAGATATATAACAGGTTTTTTGTTATATAATACATTAAATCCATCCACTACAAAGTCTTCATATCGAGAATGGATGGCAAGTCTACAGATTTTTGCAAGTCCCTCTCTTTCTTCTTCGTGGAAATAAGCACAGCCATTTTCATACCTGTAAGTGACACCCATATATGAATATGTCCTTATTTCTTGTTCATTCAGATTTTATATCTAAATCTTATAATCATGGAAGTAGTTCTTCTCTCAAACTAGAAACTGCCAACTAGATCAGCAAAGGGGAATAGAAACATGAAACATTCTCAGATATTTGACAACTCACTAAAGCTGGCAATTTTAAAGGAGAGGGGCAATGACCCAAGAGAAGTGATGAAAACAGAGAATAGGACTCCCTTCAGTCAAGGTACAAAAAGCCTGAAGAACATGGCTCTGGTTTATTCCATAAGGCAACCAGCACTGAACGAGACAGGTATGGTTCTTAGCAGTTTCAGTCCTAATATAATCAAAGTAAACCAAATTGTCAAAATCACTGATCAGGCTAACTAGCTTTTTACTATTATCTGTTTGGTACTTTTTATTTTTCCTAATCTCCTAAAGAAGGAAGAATAATTGCAATTACAAATGCTGGATTTTTACTTATAACCCTACCAGGCCACACTCTTTCCCAACACTTGAAAGAGAGATTCCCAAGTAAAATATTAGGCAAACAATTCTTTCCCATAAAAATAATACTAAACACAGTGA